AGTCCGAGCCTATTGTCTCTTTCCGGCCAGGGTTTCCCTTCCGCAGGCCTTTCTGGGCCTCCCAGGTGCAGGCGAAGGGCGAGGCCTCGAGCTCCGGCCAGCAGACAGGAGAGGAGGAGGACGAAGAGAAGACGGCCGTGAGCACAGGTGAGATCTCGGGGAGTTGGAGGGACACTCATTCCCAGGCGCCCTCGTCCATCGGGGCTTCCTGTCTGTTTTCTGCTGAGCCACGACGCACGGCCTTCCTGAGGCTGTCCCAGGGCAGGGCGGCCAGCGTCCCTCCTCTGTAGAGCGGGGCTCTCTCCTCCGGGACCCCCAGGTGCTTGCCCTTTCTTGTCTCCTGGAACCAGCCTCCCTCTTATCTCCGTCTCCCCACAACCCTGGGCCCCTGGGTCTTTTATGAAAGCCTCCCTCACTGGACACCCTCTTTCCCCAGAAGCTGTGGAGGTGGGAACGGAGGTCCCGGCCCCCGCTGCCCTTCGGGATGTGAAGCCCTTCAGAACCACGGCTGGCAGAGACCCAGGGGGCTCCCTGCAGTGGGGACAGCTGGTCTTCGGCAGCCAGGGCTCAGGACAGACCAAGGACCACAGGCTGCCTGGGTCTCTGGAGCAGGGCCAGCCAAAGACAGCCCCGCCGGCCACCAGCCTTCTAGAAACCCAGGGGGGCGACGTTCCCGAGGAGCCCAGCAGGGAGGAGAAACCCGCAGCTGAGGCCGCGGAGAGCGGCGAGGAGGGCCTGGCCGCCGAGGGCGACGGCAGCAAGAAGACCTACAAGTGCGAGCAGTGTGGCAAGGGCTTCAGCTGGCATTCACACCTGGTGACGCACCGGCGCACACACACGGGCGAGAAGCCCTACGCCTGCACGGACTGCGGCAAGGGCTTCAGCAGCAGCTCCCACCTCATCCAGCACCAGATCATCCACACGGGTGAGAAGCCCTACACCTGCCCCTCCTGCTGGAAGAGCTTCAGCCACCACTCGACGCTCATCCAGCACCAGCGCATCCACACCGGTGAGAAGCCCTACGTGTGTGA